AAACAAATTAATTATACGATTGTATAATTAGTTTATTGTTATCTATAGTAGCTAAAATGAACAGTGTGTTGAGACAGATCCTGACACTGGGCAAACCTCAGATTTCAGCCACTCTGAGCTATAGCCACTAGCCACAGGACCACTTCAAAGGGAAAAATTATGTGTAGAAAACAGCACCTCTCTGACCTATGGTCACAAGAAGGTAGTCCAGGTTGAGGAACAACAAAACCAAGAAACTAATGAAACCAGAGAGTACAATGTGAAGGATATGTCTCATTTTGTGGGTTGAATTGTCTGCTTCCTGAAGAAAAACCTTTACTAAAATATTGTGAGTGATTACTTATAGGCAGTATCTAGGTTTACTATATAAATATTATATATACTACTATAATACTATGTATAAATACTATAGAAGAGCAATGTTTGAGTTGATAAAGGATCCTAAACTCATTCCTGAATAACCACAGATAGTTATACATAATCCACACATACAGCTCATTCCCTCAGCAGCTGGCTTGGTGGATTGGAGAAAAGCCCCTGTAAAGTCTTTTTACCCTAAGATAGATGACTGTCCTCTGATAAATGCCAAGTGGAACTCCCCAGAAGGAGGAGCTGATGTGCTTCTTATGCAAGATGTGCTGGATTGGCATTATAAAGATCGAGATATTCCCCTAATAGGCCTCTTAGGTCACAGTAAATACTGTGATAAAGGGAGACCCTTTAAGAACAATTTGAGAAGCCTTATCAGATTTATTATCTCAGCTTCCCTTTATAGGCCTTACAAATGCTAAGAAAATAAGAGTGGTTCATGAGAAAAAAGGAAAAGACCAAACAGGGAGTCAATGGATTTATCTGAACAGGATGGAAATCTTAAGGTGGCTATTAAAAATGGGATGAATAGAAGAGACACTGATGGGGTTGAAACAATATCTTAATGCAGCACTACTGAAGACTGGGTAGACCAATGGGAGTCACTGTGGCTCCCCAATATCAAAGGGCCCTAAACAACTCTCCTATATTCAAGAAATTTAAAAAGCTGACAGGCAAAGATGTCAATGAGAAATCTGACCTCAAATTGCCTGGAGTGACTGTCCTATGGATTAAGCAAATTAAAGAATAATGGAGAGGGGCCAGAATCTTCTGGCTCAACCTCCAGCTGGAGAACCAAGGCAATATGCCCTAGTGTGAGTAAAACAGCCAAGGGACAGATAAGGAACTTTTCTGGGACTCCTTGACCTGGAAGCCCAATGCGCTTTGATTCTAAAACAGTTGAAGTCCAAATGGGTACTAGGCTGAATTGGGAGGAAAAACAATGGTCAATAGGATTAAGGTGAAAGTTTGGATGAAAAATGAAATATCTGAACAGACTTTATGTGAAATGATTATATTTCCTTTACATGACTATATTATTGGGATGGATATGTCTGACTGATATTATAAAACAGAATGCATGTAAGTGTTCACTTTAAGGCCAGTCTTGATTAGACATGCTAAATGAGAACTACTAGAACTATCAGAACCCATAGGAGCTGTTAGTCTGAGAAGTATGGAAGGATATCTGACGGACAAAAAAAGATTACCACTTAATAACAACCAGAAGCTGGAGTGCTGGTACCAATGAATTCTCTATACAATAACCCTGTGAAGCCTGTGGAAAAAACAGATAGCTAATCAAGACTGACAGTAGACTATTAAAGCTTGAATAAAGTGGTGCCACCATTGCATCAACCGTCCGATGTGGTTTCAACAGTACAAAAAATATATACAAGAGGCTAAAGGAGACTGGTATTCAGTGATCGATCCTGAAAGAGTTTTTCTCTGTCTTGACCTCAGAAAAGGGCAAGAACAATATTCCTTCACATGGAAAGATCCCAACTTACATTTACTATATTGCCATAGGGTTATTTCAATTCACCAGCTTACTAGTATAATTTGATTAGAAGGGATTTAGACTTGATGCAGATCCTGAGTATAATACACTATATTGATGATATAATATCAGAAACTAAAGACGAAGGAAGGTGATTGTGTGACCAACAGAGGCTGCTGATAAATCCAGCAAAGGTCCAAGAACCTGCCCAAATTGATGAAATTCTTAGGAATAACTGAGGCAGGAACCACCCTTGATATTCCATAGGTGACGAAAAATAAACTGCTTTTTCCACCTACCTCTAGAACAAAATAAGAAGCCCGACTTTTGGTTAGTATATTTGAATTCGGAACGACGCATATTCCTCGTCTGGTAACATTACTAGTACCTAAATCAATATAATGACCCAAACGAAGGCTTGTTTGAATGGGGGCCTGAAGAAAGGCAGGCCATGTATAATTGCAAAAAGTAGTCTCTTTCTTGATGCTTTCTGGGCCCCTATGATCCACAATAAGACATGACTTTGGAAGTGTCAGCAATATGGATTACGCAGACTGAAGTTTTTGGCAAAAGCCTGTAAATGGCACTCAGAAATGACCAGAACATTTCTGGATGCTGTGGTAAAATACATGCCATTTAAAAAGAAAGTTACTGGCTTGCCATTAGGCATAACATTGAGATCGACTCTCTGACTGAAGAACATAAAATAACCTCAAAATCTGAAATACCCATAATGTCTTGGGTGATGAAAGAACAGTCTAATAAGGAAGGCAGTACCAAGAAGAGCTCCGTATAAATAGAAGTGGTTTGTGCGAGAACATGCAACCAAGAGGATGCAAAGAGGTATTTATGATATTTATGAGCAGGTGGCTAGCCTCTTTTCCCCTAAGTATGACTGTGGAACCACCCGAGGGGCTGCTGAGTCCTGTGATCAAGCCGATGGTGCCCTATGAACAACTCTATATTAATCAACAAAGAGTTGCTTGGTTTATGGATGGCAGTTCCGAGGAGAAGGGACAGCACTCTGTTTGGAAGGCTAGCACTCTGACTCCAGAAGGTAATAGTGAATCATATCAATGAGCTGAATTGCATGCTGCTGTTCTCGTGTTTGGGTTTTTATTGAACACTGTAGTTGGTTTCAAAAGTGAGGGTGGTCTTGTAGACTGTTTCCTAACTTCAGATGATGATGAGAAAGGCTCTGGCAAGACTTAAAAATGTATGCTATATTGAACACTTTAAACTGTGACTATGGGAGACCACTGTAGGATATTTAAATGGAGGCGGGGGACCAGACTTCGGCAAAAAAATCCTGGCAGCAATGAGGACAGAATGAATTTAACAAGGAAAACCTCAAAGCAGGGAGACCAGTTACAAATGTGTTGTAGAAACAGGTACCTATGCTTTTAGGTCTAATGACATGGGTTCCACAGTAGTCTATATCCAGAAAAAACATAAAGTGTAAACTAAAGAAAAGGGAGAAAAGACTCAAGAAATAATTAGGACTTGGATATAAGTGATAAAGGAAAATGGTGAAGGAAAGGGAAGAATCATAGTTAAAGTTTAAGGGAGGGGTGGTTCAAGCTATTCTTTCAAGAGAAAAAGGATGCCATCTTCCTATTATTTTTGCTTCTCATATCAATTTAAAAAGCCGTAAGAAATCTAAGATGTTTCAAAGATCTGACTGCAGCTTTGAGAGAGGTAATCTAATGTCTTGCTGAGATTATTACAAGACAATCAATGTTAAGATCGGGCCCCAAGGTGAAGGCAACCACAAGATTAGTAACTCAAAACACTAGCCAACTTGCAGTTAAGATAAAACATTCTGGAACAAATTTTAAAAACAGAAAAACTTTAAGTAGCATTTCCAAACAAATGTTTTGTAGAACAGTGAGAGCTGCCTTGAAAAAGAATGAAGAGCACTACCTTTATGTGGTCAAGTCTGAGAGATTCCATATACTGGATTCTGTATTCGATTTACCACACTGGGAGAAAATGAGCATATTAGCTAACAGAATCTGACTGCCTGTGTTCAAATGTGGAATCTGACTGCTGTGTTCAAATCCTGGCTCTACCACTTACTGTGAGACCTTGTACAAATTACTAATGCTTTCTGTGAGTAGACTCTCTCTCCTATAAAACAGTCACAATACCAGTACCAGCATGGCGTGGATAGTTAATGTGAATTAAACAAACATGACAACAGTCAGAAAAGTGCCCGGCATAAACTGTGGATGCAATAATTGTTAGAGATTAGAATTAATGTATCCCCTTCTTTAAGAGAATCCTAAATGAATTCCAATGAAATCTAACACTTAAAAGCTCTAAGACATCTGACAGTTAAGGAACACATTTAAGTGTAGTTAATTCAACTTAATCTACCCTTTTTTGGCAGGAGATTCATAAAACTTATTTCCATCGATTTGGCAGAACTGTTTTAAGAAAAACACTTCAGAAAATGGTGTACGTGTAGGCAAAATTATCTTTTTAATTGTAATAAATAGATACCACAGAAACTGAGAAATTTACTAGAGGATTCTGTTATACAACTGACTAGAAATCACAGTACATTTCCACAACAGTTTTAGATGTAACAGACTGGTGAATACTAATAGTGAATACTATTGAATTCTGAGGGTAAAACAGGGTTGAAATACTAAGCTATGTATTAAATAATTAATAACTTACTTAGATGTTTATAAAGCACTAGTTTTTCTGCAAATTATTTATCTAATGAAATCAGTATACTTATGCTTTAATGTTAAAATGGTAACAGCTAGCCACATCCATGCGAATACTACCTCTTTAGACAGCCCATAGCCTAAATACCACAGTACACTTGAAAAAAAGTGTATTTGAACCAAAGGCAGAGCAAACAAAGAAATACATCTCCATTCTTGCAAACCCAAACCCATGTCATGATACATTTTTAACCAATATTCATAAGACTATTAAATATGAATGTGGAAGCTATTAAATAATTTATCAAAAACATCTTGCTTTAAGAAATAAAATATACAAAACTAAGAATTAAGATGCTAACAAAATTATGGAATAAATATCTGCTTTAGGAAGAATAATTTTATAAGAACTTTTTATAATATTTCTTGATAAGCAATTATGACTTCTGTACCTATGTTCTTTGTGTTCCAATAGCTGACAGTCTCTACATGTCAGTCTATCACATGTTTCACAGAAAAGTTTCAACTGTTCTTGTTTGTGTACAGGGCAGAAAACAGGGCGCTGACCAGATGCTCCAACAGACTCTGTAGTAAAATAAAACATATATTTTTAAACTAAACAAAAAGTTTGTCTAACATTCTTATTGATATTGGTATCCAAAGCTTATAAAGAATACGCAGAAATGCTACAGGGGCAAAAGAGGGAGATTAATAGTAATCATTAAAACTGCTTCTATCTTACCTGAGACATCTTCTTTCTTCCTGATCAAGTGATCTTTAGTGAATTTTACTCTTTGATGTGCTTCAATACATGTCTTACATAGCCACTCTCCACATTCTACACAAAAGCCAACTGCACTTGCATTGTCTTCACAACTAGTACATACCTAAAAGAGGAAATAAATACTAATCTACATTAAATTTACAAAATGTAGATCCACAAAATAAAAAGATGAAAACTTTCTAATTTGCTCTCAAATTATATTAATTCATTATACCTAGAATAAAATTATTTTGTTATCCATTTGTCTTCCAATGAAATCCTTTTCCTTCCACATCAAACATTCAGGTGGGTCAAAATATAAGTCTCAGAACACAAAATCTACACAAAATTTGAATTTTTAAGTAATGATTTTTTTCATCTCAGTTAGGTTGAGGGTGTAGAATAAAGATATCTTTTATTCTCAATTTGAAAGATGGAATTATAGCAGAACTACCCTAATTTATGTAACAATCTAAACATGTTTTTCTTATAATTTACATTTCGATATCAAGATAGGAATATAAAGAAAAATTAAGAAGCATACCTGTTCTGATTTCTCATCAGAACTGCTAGGAGCTTCAGATGTATCTTTCACAAAATAATTATCCACAAGGTCTATCTGTCTGCATTCTTGGCGGCATACTGGGCACCGTATTACACCAACTACAACACAAAAGACAACATTAAGAAGTATTCAGGAAAAAAATAAGAAAATTGTGCATGATGTCCATATAGAAACTACTCATTCAATATGTCACAGATAAGACCAAAGAAATGAGTATTAAGAGCTGAGTAAAATAATCCACTGGGTTATTCCATTGGGAGAAAAGGATAACCTATTTAGGAAGAAATAAACATGCAAAAGAAATTTAAGGTGCTTCTTTATTACAGTATGTGGTTGACTGAAAAATGGTCCCAAAAGATATCCAGGTTCTACTCTTTGGAAAACCTGTCAGTGTTATTTTATACAGCAAAGGGGACTTTGCAGATGTGATTAAATTAAGGCACCTCAGATGGGAATGCTGCCCTATATTATTTGATGGGCTCTGTCATCACAAGTGATCTTGTAAAAGGGAGGCATAGGGAAGATTAGATTACAAAACAGGAAAAAGCAACTAATAATGAAAGCTTTGGAGATAGAGCCACAGGCCAAGAAATACAGGTGGCCACTATGAGCTAAAAAAACAAGGAAAAAGATTCTCTCCTCAGAGCCGCCAGAAAGAGCCAGACTTGCTGACAGACTGCAAACACTGACTCAATCTCAGTAAAACTGAATTCAAACTTTAGCTTCCAGAACAGTAAGAGCATAAAATGTATTGTAATAAGGAACCAAATTCATGGCAATTTTATTATAGCAGCAATAGAAATACGCACTCTATCGTCTTTAAATTCTGACTTGGTTCGCAATTACCCTAATTCACGCTAGTGTGGGAAGAAAGATCATCTGTGCTTTAACCTGCTAGTGTTCTAGCATCTATAAAAACAGATAAACCTGCTGAAGTAACATATGGAAGTTAAGAACTAAAAAATAGCACCACAATCAACACAACAAACTGATTACTATGTGTCAGCCATAAAATTGATGATAACGTAAATGATACAATCCTTGCTTTCAAGAAAGGGTTCAAGACTAGATTGTAATTTTTATCTTTTATACCATGTACAACCATAGGAAGTACCACACAGAGACTAGGATGTTAACAGAGTCCTCAACAGCTGTGAGGGCACAAACTACAGAACCTTATATAGAAATTCTAATGGAAAATGAAAACTTAAATGTCATTCTAAAAGTAGGAATATCAGTCTCCTAGGAGACACAATATATTGTTAAAACAAACTCAAATTAATAATTATATATTTGAAAACAAAATACTGTTTTTATAACAAAATGCACACAAAGATATTGCTCAAAGGAAATGCATAAAATCAAGGTTTCAAATTGAAGGAAGAAACAGCATAGTGAAGAGAGAAGTGAAAAAGAATATAGTTTTACATTTGTGATGCATGAGTTAAAAACCTTTCAAGAAACACAGAGTGTATCTACAAAGGAGATAAATGCAAGTTATTGTAGAAGCAAAACTATGTGAGCGACTAACTTCTTACAGTGAATCAGGTAAGCTTTCACTGAAGAGGTGACACTTGAATATGCTTTTGAAGAATTAATATGCATTTACTCGTATGCAAGAAAAAATTTACTTGGCTGGCCTAAGCCCCTCAAACCCTGCACATTCCTAAGAAAGGCTGTCTTCAATACTGGCCCTTGACTGGCTCCTGGAAGATGACCTCTGAACTCTAGGAATATTATACCTGATAAGAGTGTTTTTGTATGCCTGAGGCACTAGACCTCCCTGTATTCAGTTTGACCTTTGGGGGTGGCCAGAGTCCAAGTAGGTGGTGTCAGTTCTATGGAGGCTGCACCCTTTCATGACTGATCCCCCTCAATAAAAACACTAGACACAGAGGCCCAGGTGAGCTGCCCTGGTTGGCAATGCTCCCCCGTATTGCCACACATCGTTACTGGGAGAATTAAGCATCTCCCTGTGCAACTCCACTGAAAGGAGATACCTGGCGCTTGCACCTGCTACCCCCTGGGCTTCACACCATGTACCTTTTCTCTTTGCTAATTTTAATCTGTATCCTTTTTTCTGAATCCTATGAGTCCTTCTAGCCAATCATTAAGCCTGAAGGTGGTCTTGGGGACGTCCAACTCAACTAGGAAAGGAAAACAGCAGCAAACCAAGAACAGCAGGTGCAAAGTTCACAAATGGAAAGAAAAAAGAAGAGGAAGCTACAAAAGAGATAAATATAATTATATATATGGCTAAGAAAAATGTAACATCTAAACTAAAGAATATTTTTGTTGAAGGATATAAAAGATGGAGAGACACTGTGATCTAAGTAAGAAAACACTCAATATTACAAGAGTATCTGTTATACCTATATAAATGAGTGATTTGATGCAAATCATACCAGATGTTTTGGTTCTTTTGGGAACTCAATAAGCTGATTCTCAGATTCTTAAAATTTCTACTTCAATCCAGCAAGCTGACATCACAGTTTATGACAACACAAATTGATCTTTTTCTCAATCCAAACCCCTATTAAAATAACATTAAGTTATTTAGAATATAAACACAGTATCCAGAAAAATTAAGGTGCAGGAATGAGCAAGGCAAGCACATCAATATTCACACAATTTTAAGAAATGCAGATGCAAAAGCGTGTCTGAACATTGCAAAGGAAACCCGACCCAGATTACAAATGAAGTGAAGACTCTTACTTGCCATAAAAGCTTTCATAGAAGCTTGGAATTCAGAAATTTGATGCAAGAAAGAAGTCCTGACGAGACACAAGGGAATAAAATCAAGTCTGTAGACATCGGCAAACCCCACTCCTATGTTGACTACTTGCATTAGACAGGTTACCCAGCAGCCAAGGTGTCTTATCTCAAAGCAAAAAGAGTTGAATCTTCTTTAGGGATCTTTTTGCTATTTGCTTCTATATTTATCAATCAAATTTAAAATTATACAAACGATGGCTTTGAAAAGGAGAGCCATTTTCCATTTGCGTTAAAGTATGTCCTTGTAATGAGTGTATATAAGTGTGCTCCCAACTCTCAGTGCTAGCCGTCATGGTGAGTTTTAATCATTACTCAAAACTGAAACCCAAACTCCAAAGCCAAAGCTACTGACGGGTTTTATGCATAATGTCCCTAGAACTGATTTCATTACTTCAAAGCTCAAGTTCTGAGAGACCCATTCATGCCTATTATATTAATTTATTTTAAATGCCAATTTACTAAAATGTATAATTATCAGGAAGTACGGGGATTCAGGGGGACTCTTTTAAAAAGGCCAAAATACACAAGTCTACAAACTAGTTTATCACTGCAGTGTTAAGAACTCAGTTTCAGTAAACTGACTGGTAGACTTCCAATCAAGATGGGCAACTAAGCAGGTATGGAAAGACTACCTAACCCCCAACTCCAACACAGAAATGGCTAAAATATAACAAATTAAAGTGCGGTATGAAAAATATATAACTGAGTTTGCATCCAAGAAGGCAAAATTTTGAAGTGCCAGAAACAAAAACAGAACTCAAAGCCAAGTGGTGAGGCACTGACATAAGTGGGTGAGGTTCGGGCCCACTGTTGGGAACAGGAAGTAAGACAAGGCTAAATAGTAAAACTAAACTCCCTCAATAAAGCCATGGGGGAGGCTTTAGGTGCCCTACAACCTAAAATTCTTGCCCTCCTTGGAGTCCTCCACAAGAACTCAGCACACCAACTAAGCTTCATGCACAGATGCATAGTCAAAGTTCATACTTATCTGCACAGAAAGGCCAAGCCAAGAAACTAATAAGAAGCTTGCCTCAACGTAGGTGAAGTGGAGAGCCACAGAGAGTGGAACAGCAGGCTCAGAGAGCATGGAAGCTCCGCACCCCTTCCCACATATCTTGGCCTATGCATTTCTTCCATCTGGCAGTTCCCAAGTTATACCCTTTTAAAATAAACAGGTAATCTATCCAGTACTTGACGACTCAGGGTAAGTTCATGTAGTGATGCAACCACCACTCCTAAACCTTCTTGTCCTGGGCACCAGTTTTCCTAAGACTTCAGAAACACTGAATGGAAAACTGGGAGTAAATCTATTACGAACCAGAAGGAACCCAAGGAGTCCAGTCCATCATACTGGTCATCTTCCCTAAGGCTGAAGTCAACGTTTCTTTTATGTTTTATATACTAAGTTCAAGTTCTTATTTAAAATCTCATCTTTAATCTACTCAGAACTCCAAACAAAATGCCCACAAAACAGAAGTCATTAGCTTTGCTTCCTATCTACTTCTCTTTCTGGGATTCCTATTTAAGTGAATTCACATATTCATTCAACAACCATCCCCCCTCCCCCAAAAAGAAGCTTGCCTAGAAACTTATATACACAGAATCATATCATTAGAAAACCTCCCAACCCAGAGCATAAGTGGGACTCCCAGTGAAGATAAGCTCATAAATAAAACTACAATGTGCATGAGGAAACTCAATACTATTAAAAGTCAACAAACACAACCAAGAAATAACAACCTACACCGCAGAAAATAAACCAGATGATTCATGGATAATTATGCAATTATTCGAAATGAGGTAAAAGTAATTTCAGCTAGAATGTAGTACGTTTTGGATAGATTGTGTTTAACTAGCATAGCTGTGAAGCTGAACGGTGTAAAAACCACCAGCAGATACATAGTTCAAATACGAAGTACAATTATAATTAGTGAGGGAAAACAGGATCAAGAACCCTCAATACACCAATATTTATGGGTCAAACGGGAAAAGAAGAGTTCTAAGATTCAAGAGATAGATTTCAAACATTTTTCAACTGCAAATCTCAAGAAGTACACTTTGCATCAAAAGCCAGTACACGACACATATGTAAAACCAAAATGAGAATCGAACAGGGATCAATCACTTTTTCCATTAACCACTTATGACTGACTTGTCATCACTTTTAGAAGTAATGACAATTTACTTTTAGAAGAACATACTAGGCATGACCTAATAATCTTTTCATTCAGCTCTACGTCCTCTTTCCCATACCCTGGAGCAGTGAGTCCAAACTTCCAGTCACCAACTCCAATTTCCTCTCACTTAGAAAATAATTATGAAT